AAGACCACCACCACCTCCACTGGCTATCCAAGCCAAGCCCTGGCTATGTAGGGCTGGCTATGGCGCTGCCCTCAGCAGCGCCCTGTATTCTTCGAGCGCCCCTGCGCACTGCCTAGCACCTAGTGCTAGAGCACAGCGCACAGCCCTCAAGCGCACTGCCGCATGCACTGCCTAGTGCCCGAATGAGCCCACCAGTGGCAAGCTCTTTCCTTTATGGAAAGTGATCGCACAGTTTGCCATCTGGCTGGGCCTCGTGTGTTTCCAGTAGCTTCCGATTGGGCCAAAGTGTCTGCGCCCAGGCCCATTCAGACAGTGGCCTGGGTCTGAATTGGTTCGGCCTGCCCAACCACCCAGGAGTAAAAGTGAGGTTCTCCCTGCCTTGCTTGTGCTGCTAGAAGAGCCTAGAAGGCTCACGGATTATTTTCTGATTCTCACAAGTCACGAGTTCAGAGGATGTAACCAACTGGCACGTGGCAACTGTCTGGCGCCCACGAAACTGTGCCAAAATTGACAAACTCAGGCCATTATATTGAAATTCAGGGGGCCTTAAAATAAAAAATAAATAAAAAAAAATTTAAAAAAAAAAAAAAAAAAAAATCAGGGGGCCCGCCGTCACTTAGGGCGGGCTCATGCTTCCTAAAAAGGCTCCACAGGGCATGCCGAAGATCCATGTCGACATAGGGGTTGCAACAGGCTCTGTTTGGCCTGGTACATAGGCAGGCATTGGCATAGGCAGGCATTGGCACACATTTGCAGGCCCGCCTTCACTTAGGGGGGGCACAGCCTTTCAGAACACTGCCGAGGGACTCTACACCCTCGCATAGGGACTTAGACAAATGCAAGCAAACAGTAATCTCTCACTCAAGAGACGGAAATCTCCGCACATCACATCAAACCAGCAAGCAGCGATGCTCAGCAAACTGCGTAAATCTCAGACTGATTCTGCACGGGTCATTGCAAAACTGCCAATCTGCACGGGTCCTTTGCGTAGAACGATGTTCCTGCCCTCTATGGATCATGGATATCTGGATCATGTTGATTCTGTTATTGAACACCAGTACATACCGGTACCCAGACATATGCGAAGAGAGTGCCCACTGCAGTGTACATTGCAGTACACACTTCAACTTATACAATTCAGTTAAGTAACTTAAGTTATCATATTGATAGTACAGAATTCAACAAAAACAAAAATAAAAAACAAAAAAGATAGTACCGAATTCATTTAACGAATTAACATATCATATTGATCCAAGTGAAGATCGGTGGTCCACGATGGAGACTCAGTGCGATACATTCTTCTTTCAGGCATCAGTGGGAGTAAAAGAGAGACCGGCGATCCATTATTCTCTGTGGCACTGTACATTGGTGTAGTATAGGCTAGAGTAGTAGACACAGTAGGTGATATATCACATAGGCTGGCTGGTAAAGAGACCCGCGAGAGCAGAGAACTATTGTTTCTTGTTGCATTGATTATCGAGGGGCGAGTCTCAGAAGCGTTTTTGAACTGTTCTTCCTCATCAAGATACTTCAACATTGCCAACAGTTACTCTCATGCCCGTGCGATCTTTTTTGACATTCAATTTCAATCAAAATTTGTCATTTCTGTCCTTCGGGACGTCCGTTAAAATTGGAACGATACAGAGAAAATTGATTAGCATGGCCCCTGCGCAAGGATGACACGCATAAATCGAGAAATGGTCCAATTTTTTTATTAAAAAAATAAATAAATTGTCATTTCTGCTATTTGTTGACTTCTGCAGCTGCTGTATGCATGCCGGACCTTGCCCGGTCATCAGAGTCCACCGTGCTTGTAAATTGGGTTGGGCGGCGGAACTTCCGCCAGATTGAGCGTGGTTGCCATGCAAATGAAATGCATGCAGACTGTCTTATCTAGATGTCATTCGCGGGGATGCTGCAGTGCAATACCAGCCTGCCTGCCCAAACAAGAGGGGCTGAGTCCCGGCTGACTGGTCCGTCCGTGGTCAGCCAAACCGTCAATTCAGGCTGACTGAGGGTTTATTCACAGAGCCCTCCCTGCAGAGGTCCTTGGTGGTTGCATGAATTGCCAGCTTGCCACCGTGGTTCAGGTGGTTCAACATGGGAAATGTAGGCGTAGGGAGGGGTGTTGGAGGGGCAGAAGGGGGGAGGGGGAGGGGGGGGAGGGGAGATGGATGAGAGGAGGAGGAGAGGTCGGAGGCAGGGGACCCAGAGGTACTAAGGGGATTGGGAGATATTATTCACTCATTTGGTTTCTGGGTTTCTCACTGAGTTACTGAGTTACTGAGTTACTGAGTTACTGAGTTACTGAATTACTGAGTTACTGAGTTACTGAGTTTAACTTACTGAGTTACTGAGTTACTGAGTTTAACTTACTGAGTTACTGAGTTACTGAGTTACTGAGTTACTGAGTTACTGAGTTACTGAGTTACTGAGTTGCTGAGTTACTGAGTTACTGAGTTACTGAGTTGCTGAGTTACTGACAGACTAACTGCATCACTGACGGAATGAATGAGTGAGACTCAGTGAGTTAGTACGCTGGGACAGAACGGCAGAAATTAACGTGGAAATCACACCTGCGCTGAGCCTCACATAGACGCAACATTTGAGAGTCACGGCTCGAGTTCATGTTGCAGCCCCCGACCGTTCACCTGCCCGTTCTGGCATGTTCCATGATGGTTTTTCCCTCGGAGTCCCAAAAACTGGACCCTCCTACTAAGGTCAAAAATGTCTCCTTAAATCTCTTTGCCCAGGTAACGGTGGTCCAAAAGAACAACGGAAGAAGAAGTAGGGGACATGGAGAAGACAAAAGAAGAGTGGACGTACATCCCAGAGAGAGATAAATGTCTAGAAATTTGTAATTAGTGGAAAAAGAGGAAAGCATTGTTGAAAGCAGCAAAAGAATGAGTCAAAAGTTTGAAAAAAAAACAAAGCGACACACAAAAATGCAGAGGGGAGCCGGGGGGTTGGGGGTGGGGGGCGGGGAAGGAAAGAGGCACACACAGAGAGAGAGAGAGAGAGAGAGAGAGAGAGAGAGAGAGAGAGAGAGAGAGAGAGAGAGAGAGAGAGAGAGAGAGAGAGAGAGANGAGAGAGAGAGAGAGAGAGAGAGAGAGAGAGAGAGAGAGAGAGAGAGAGAGAGATGTCAAAGGCACAATAGAGCACATTACTCGAGGCTTTACATATCACAGTAAAAGCAATGTGTCCATGGCGTACCAACGCTACCCTTCTCGCCTCCTCCTTAGGTAGCGACTTCCAGCCATTTACCAGCTGAGTTAAATAGATCAGCACCTCACCCAGTTAGTACACTCCTCACTCCCGTCCTAGCCTCCAGCCTCATCATCCCCCATAACTGTGTATCATCTGATATTCCATGTTCACGCCCCGTG